AACATTTTGGCGGTCGGTGACAGCAGATCAGAGACGTGTAGCTACAGATCAGAGACACCTGCAGACAGAATAGACACAGAACTACAAAGGAAGATGGTGATTTATAACTGTACGGAAAGGAGAAAGAGACAGAGGAGAGGAGCCCAGTGCATTATGGGAGTCCTCCATCAGTCTAAACCTGCAGCAGAATAACTAAGGGACAGTTCAGGTGATCCTGAGCAGCTCTGACTTTAAGTTTTATCAAATAGGAAAGTTTTAAGCCTGATCCTAAAAGCAGAGAGGGTGTCTGCCTCCTGAACCCAACCTGGGAGCTGATTCCACCACAGAGGAGCCTGGTTCTACTTCTGGAAACTCTGGGAACCACAAGTAGACCTGCAGTCTGAGAGCGAAGGGCTCTGTTGGGATGGATTTTAAGTTCTATCCTGGATTTCACAGGGAACCAATGAGGAGAAGCTGATGTTCCTGTCAGAACTCTGGCTGCAGCATTTTTGTATCATCTGGAGGTTTTTAAGAGAATTATTGAGAAGTCCTGATAATAGTCCAGTCTAGAAGTTACAAATGCATGGACTGGTTTCTCAGCATCACTCTGAGACAGGACGCTGGTGAAAGAAGGTCGGCCTACAGGTGTGCTTTATGTGTGAGTTAAAGGACAGATCTTGGTCAATTATTTCTTCTTTGATAAAGCTTATAGCTAGAGCTGCTCAGCATCACCTGAACCGTGCCTTAGTTCTGCTGCTGTAGGTTTAGACTGATGGAGGACTCCCATGATGCACTGGGCTCCTCTACTCTCTTCTCACTCTCTTCCATACAGTTATAAGACAAATTAGACAGGTAGCCTAATAAAGTTTTAATATATACTGTAGATACATTGGTCAAAATGCAAACACGGGATAAAACCCAGGCGTTACACTTCCATCTGACAGACAGCCTAAAAACTTGACTGAAGTGGTGTCAGCAACACGAAAGAGAGAAAACACTGGATCATGTGGGGTAAATACCAAAGTGTGAGCACCTTAAGGAAGTCCAGGAAAGCGGGTTTGGACATGCAGGCTTTTTTGATGAGCGCCATGGCGTTGGTGAAGTTGTTGATGTAGTCGCTGTACACGTTCAGCACCATGGACTTTGAAAACTGTGGAGGAGAGAGTAAGACATCAGTGCTCCGTCTATCTGCTTATTTTCATTTGCACTCATTTAACGGTTTTTAAAAAGATTTCTTTTTAAGGTAACGGGAGGCTAATGTCAAGCAGTTTAGACGTACAACTCTGGAAGACAGTGAACAGGTCCGGTTGGCATTTGTGTGTCAAATGATGCTCAGGACATTCAGCCTTATTATGCTTCTATAATGATTATTACAGTGGCTATAGGAAGTACTGACCGTCCTAGGAGCTTCCCCCTTTTATTGCTTTTCAACATTGAATCATGGTACGCTTAATTTTGCAAAAAAAATGAAAAAATGAAAAAGAAAAGGGTTGTGATGATGCTGCCACTATCATGATGTGAAGCACGGTGGTGGCAGCATCATGACGTGAAGCACGGTGGTGGCAGCATCATGATGTGGGGATGCTTCTCAGCAGCAGCCCTGGAAGGCTTGAAGGTGAAATGAATGCAGCAAAGTGTAGAGAAATCCTGGAGAACAACCTGATGCAGTCTGCAAAACAACTGCAACTAAGGAAGAAGATTTGTTTTCCAGCAAGACGATGACCTGAAGCAAACAGCTGAAGCTACACAGAAACAATTTGTGTTGCAGAGTGGCTGACTCAGAGAATTTACTCACCGCAAAAAAAAAGGAATAAGGTAAAACTACAGTGTCCAGATGGAGACCTGTCCACACAGGCTCTCTACTAAACAGGGACTTGAAGGGGGAGGACACTCATGCAATCAGTTATTTTACATTTTTAATTATTATTTAATAGACATTTTTTGTGGAAATGTGTTTTTATTTTTTTGTGAACGCTTGTCAACACAACCAAATTATATTAACCAAAGGAAAAAAGCAATACAAAGGGGGGGAATCTACCAAGGAACACTTTTATAGGGCTTTTAGATACTACGGTTGAAATGCGGCCATTTAAACAAAACACAAAAATAACAAAAACGACGAGGTTTAAATGCAAATATTTGAGCACCAGTCAGCTGCAGCCAGACCAATATGCACTACAGAATAGGCTGGCTAAGCTTTTTAAAAGACTACACCAATGCTCTTCTGGACACTCAGATCATAAAAAACCATCAGAGGGAAAAAAAATAAGGGTGTTGTATGTACTCAGTACAAAGTTCCTTTAGAAATGAAGGAAATAAAAAGATGCAACTGACCGAAGCCACAAACAGGTCGCCGATCTTCTCGCTGTCATCCCATTCAGCCACACGACATCCCAGGGCGATCTGGAACATCGAATGGCACTGGTGGATCTCCTGCAGACGGTAGAAAATCTGACGCACCTTCTTGGGGTTTATTATCAAGGTCTGTGGATCCAGCAGAGGCTTCTGGTACTCCTGAAAGAACAAGAAAGGCCGACTTTAAACTACTGTAGATGTGCTTCTGTCAGCTTCCACAGAAACAGACGATGCGCTTTGCATTTTGAGGTTCTTTATCGTTTCTTATGAGCAAGAACTGCAGAAATTGAGTTCAAATAACACCTCCAGATATGTTCCAATCGACTTTTTTTTTTCCCAACAGTGTCTTTCCACACTGAAATGCAGCGGCGCCCTTTTACCTGAGGAGACGGGTGACTCACCTGGAGGACTCTTTTGAGAGAGTCCAGGTAGCTGTTCTCACTCTGCAGAATGGAGCTGAGAATGAGGCGTCTGACAACCTGAAGGAGGGAGCAACAAACACCACGGTCAAATGAACCTGTAATCAGCACACCTTATGCTAATTTAACAACATCACAATGCATGGTATAAATTCTTAAATTTCAAAATTAAAATCATGTCTCCAATAACAGCTGTAAACAGATAACAGCTGGTCACTAATGAAGGCCTGAAATGACCTGAACTGGAAGTAAAATTCAGTAGAGTTATGTTTCTTTTTTCTCAACACTAACACTTTATTCATTTACTATTTAATTCCAGTTGCTTCTAAGTTGCTCCTGCAGCTACGAGGCTCTTTAATAAAACATCTAACAAAAGAAAAGAGTCGCACAAGAGAAAGAGATCAGCAAAGTATGTTCCGGTAACAGGATGCTCCAATTTCAACTGTTTGTCTCCAAAAGTGAATCATTACAGACACTCGCTGCTTTCAAATGCCCATAAAGAGAGCCAGCAGAGTGAAGAAAATGGAAACAATGCATGTAGACAAACACCAGTTCATTACAGCAACATGGTTTCCTGTGCCGACATGAAAACACAAACGTATGGGCATTCACATCCACACCTGCTGACTGCTGAGCCCCTCCGGCATTGGGCTGAGCTGTGGAGGAGGATGCTTCAGCTCACACACCGACACGTCCATGTAACCGGCATCATCCTTTTCCTCGCCTGCAACATCAAACACAACAGCTCTCATAGGACAACTGCAGTTTTAATTGCCTTTCTTTTTTTATTTTTCCATTCCTGCACTGTCACTTGTAACATGTTTTATATTTGCAGAACGTAATATTTACAAAAAAATGATGTCAACTTTATGATGAAGTTACTCCACCTGTCTGCCACTCATGATCTTCTACATGCACAGTAATGTATGCAAAGAAGGAAGTCTTAAACTCTGCAGTTTTTGGTGACAACAAATTGCATTTCTACAAACTAAACTAAACACGTACGGTGAACTTATCAGTCCCAGTTACAGATTCTGTACCTGTGGAGTCTTTTCTCTGCAGGAACGACACTTTGCGAAACATGGCTAGTCTTGTTTTCTCCAAACCGTCCTTGGTACCGTTCCTCGCTGCCTTCATCAACTGCTGCACCTGGAAAATGCAAAGTAAGGCAAGAAAGGGTGTGTGACAAGGTGGCTGCAGAAGCAAAAGAGCGACAAATTCTGTTTTGCAAAACAGTGTTTTATTGTTATTACTATATCTTAGTTGTATGTTTAAAAATTAATAGTAAAATCAAGCCCAATGCGTGTCACTTTTTGGTTGAACCCAGCCCTTAAGTGAGGTAAACTAAACTCACAATGACCTGTATCCATAAAAAGTTGGAGGAGAACAGAAGAGAAACATGAGGAGGGTTTTTATTTCAACCCTACCTTCGTGTCACAGCTCTGTCGGATGTGAGCAACGTGAGGTGCACTGAGACGCACTGCCAGCTCCTTCCTGGTGACGGCATAACGCTCCTTTAGCCTCAACACGTCTGCAGGCAGCTTGATCACAGGAACACAAACAGAAGAAGCATCATACACCGAGGCCAGGAGTTCACTAAAACACCTCGATGTCTAGTGAGTAGGTCTAATTCTAACCGTCTCCATTAAGGCAGAAGATGAGGAACATGCGTGTCAGAAAACATCTCCGCTGTAGTCGACAATGTTGGCAAGCAGAGAGCGTTGTTTAGCTCGCACTGGGCCACCATGACAAAGACTTCTGGACCACAGGTTCATCAGTCGAGGTGACCCAGACTCTACAGGGGAAGCGTTCCTTCAACCAAGTGGCAGACATCATGAAGTCCATATTTTAAAAAAGCATGTTTACTGAACTTGATTTGTCTTAACGGTTAATCGATTATTAACCGATATGTCTATAGGTTAAGCATTCCTTGTTGAACTATTACAGAGTTAAAGAAGTGTAGGTTAATAAACTATGAACAATAAATGGCTCATAATAAAAGTATTTGCAGGACTATGACTTGGAAAACCATCGTTTCTCTTTTAGCCCAGTAACAATGATATAAACTCTTGTAGTTGGGACACTGCTGGAGTATTTTCACCATCACACCGGCTCAATGCAACCTCAAACACTGGCCATAAATGCATTTTTCTCATAAACTATACCTCTGACTGGCTCCTACTGGTGCCAATCACAGGAAAATAATCATCAATCATCATATCGTTGGATGATAAAGGTTTTAGGGTTGGTAGAATATCAGCGTAGACGAAAACATGGACATTTTTTTTAACCAGAAGTGCACCATCATAGAACTGGTTTCTATTATTCAATCAAAGCAGGGCTGTACCATTGCAGACCATATGAACATATCAATGATCCTGCTAAATTCCAGGACTCTAACTCTAGCATTTCTCAAGTTATGGCCCTTCAAACATTGCTCCACAGATTGGCGCGAGGAACAGATGCACAAACCGACATGACCCCACCAAGCTTTGGGTATTTCCAACTCAGAAATGATTGCTACCTATGACCCCAGCTTCTACACATGGTCAACTCAATAAATATTCACCGGTTGACCATCTGCCACCAGCTGAACAGCTCAGAAACGTGACCCCTTTTCTAACCAGAACAACAGAATGAGAGAAGACCTGCTACGCTGACTATGATTGTAGTCTTAGAAGACAGAGCACCTACCTTCTGTATCCTTACTGACAAATCCTTCCTCTGTCATAAAGCTTTCAACTCATCCAAGACACTGAGAGACATTCTCTGCGCTGACTCCACGAACGACTTATTTTCTTTACAACGACTCCACGCCCAAAAGTCGCTCAATTTCATTTTCAAAACACAAGAGCTGAGTGGGGAAAGTCCACAGGCGACAGCGGCACATGGTGACAGAAGCAGAAGACAGAAGTGCTGACAGGGCGAGGGGCTGCCAGAAATAATTCACTTCCTCTTTTCATCAAATCCGCTTTCCTTCACGCCGAACATGAATTAGAAACCGACACCAGTGATTCCCCACCAAGGTCATTCGTGGGTTGGACCAGCATTGAAGTTTTAAAATTAAATATTCACAGATCAAAGCGTTCAAACTGTAAAGTGTCCAGTAGTGATAAACTCGCAGAGAATTATCGCCAACTCTGCAGTTCCTCTCAACCTCAACTGTGCAGAAGATTTTGCCGTCTTTCACTTCATGGTTTTGGTTTTACAGGCAGCATTCACACTGTTTTGGTTAAGTAAAGATATGTCAGTGTTGTGTTCTGCTGCATTAAAGTAGGAAACGGCTTCTTCTGTAGTCATGCTTATCATTCGTTTAATGATTTGCTTTTTAGTTCGTGATATGGTCTCAGAGCTCTTTGCAAACTTGTCTGTGCAGGTTCTCGATCATCTAAGTCACGGTAACTCGAATAGCTTAAGCAAAAACCAGCTAGACTTCTCTTTCTGGCACAAAAATGGGCCTTCCAGGGTCACCCATTGTGGCCAACGTCTACATGGACAAAGCAGTGCACTGAGCTTTTTCAACCGAACATCTTCCAGCAACTTCTTCAGGTCTGTGGATCGAAATCAAAGCCCGAGAAGTTCCTGTTGTTTGACTCCGGGTGGATTTTAAGTAAGGGTTAATCAGAACTTTACCGCACCGCACGGCACGCTGTTGCACTTCAGACCCAGCAACACTCTGAGACAAGAACAACCGCACACAAGCCGAGCGACACTGTATACGCAGTATTCATTCATCCGTCTGCTACATTCACAGGTTAGCGCCGACTCAAAGTGCAATCATAGCGATTATAGTCAACATTTTAAGACTTTTTAGAGCGACGAGGCTTCGCGTCGCCCGTGAGCTCATTAGCATAAAGTAGACTTGACGTCAACTTTATGCAAATTTGGCAAATTTTGACAAAAACGCCCCTCTGGACTCGTAGCATTAAGGCCTTGATGGGAAAAACAACTTCCCATCCAATAAACCGAAAAAACCCCAAACAACTTTACGTCCAACAAGCCAAGCACGCGGTCACGTCTTCCATCACAAACTTTCTTGTTCGCCGACGTCACTCAATGCATCCTGTGCATATTCTTAAGCTGTTAAATGAACTTTAGGTGCATTAGCGCCACCTAGCGGCTGCAGTGTGAGCATCAGTGTGCCAGAAATTAGGGCACTGAGAAAGGTGCAATTAAATGGGCTGTTTATTTTAAACGTGTTATTTGTTCTGTAATTAATCAATCAAAGTTAACGTGTTAAAGTCCAGGCCCTACAGGAAACCTAACTCCTCAGAACAAGTCTCAGCGGTCCAGCTGCAGCTGAAGGATTAAGGGACGCTCCTTTGAGGACAGAAAAGTTCTCAGTTTGGACCGAGAACACAGACGGTTTGAGAGAAAAGCAGCCGTCGATGTTAAACTGGAGCAGCCGTCTCTAAACAGAGCACGAGGTTCACAACACCAGTTATCAAGTGCTTATCATGCATTTTGAGATCCCTCCTTAGAAAGTTTCACCAAAACCAAAGAGCGAAGTCGAGCTGCTTTTTCTAAAAGTCCTAGGATTTTGCAATCCTGTTTTTTTTTTTTCAAAGATGTGACCAAACAGAAGTTATCATAACTAACCAGTGTTTACTGGATATGTGCCGTCCCGTTACTCTAATAAAAAAAAAAAACAGAGCAGCAACAAAATTCATCCAAGCTGAATGTTCAGATGTGCAGGTCTGAGGCCTGACAGTGAGCAGGACCTGATTGTTCTGCAGCTTACAGCTACAGAGCTAACAGGCCTGAAGGGACTTACCTGCTTCAACCGTTGGATTTTTACACAGTAAGGATGTTTTTTTTTAACATGTTTCCTAAACAGGCTACAACCTAAACCAGCTAAATTAAACCCTCACATCATGTCACATCCCAGTGTGGAATTCAAATGACACAAACACAATATTAAAGACAGCATCGCTGCTCTTTGTGACACGTCTTTGAAAACACGCCGTATAAACACAGGTATTACTTCAGTCTTCAGTCACTACCAGTGAAATGTTTTACAGGATCTCTTAAAGTATAAGTTATTCATATTTTAGAGAGAATCTCCACATACCCTGCTGCCTCGCCCGGGAGGAACAGCCTCGCTGTCAGACAGCTCATCGTAACTCTCGAACTCACTGGAGCTCCAGCTGTTGGAGCTGCGGTGGTCTGGTCCCTGGATGTCCTCGTAGATGTCGTCCACGTCTACGTGCAGAAGAGGAAAGATCAGAGTAAACCATTAACTGAGATTCATCTGTTGTTTCAGTCCATCTAATACAACTGTTGTCCTCTAATTGCAAGGTTGGCGGTTCGATCCCTCCTTGAGCAAGACACTGAGTTGCTCCCGCTGGCAGGCAGCACCCTGCATGGCAGCTTTGTCGCCGTTGGTGGACGGACGTGTGGGTGAATGAGAAACACATTGCAAAGTGAGTACCACTAAGGTAGAAAGGCGCCGTATATTTACTACCATGAGACTTCTGATTGTAATACTTGAGGCTGTATGCACTGAACTCATCATCTGTAGGCTGGTGTGTTTGTCCAGAATAGTAATGACTGTTGGTGGGATTAAAAACATTAGGTGTAGGACTGAAGACCATTTACAGGTTCTAATATCATGTGGTGGTTTGTAGGAGTTAACTCCTTCACATAGCAAAGCTGTGAAGTGTTTCGGAGGCTTACCGTCCACGAGGTGCTGCAGGTTCTCAGCAGGTACATCATCATAGATGACCTCTGGGTCTCTGGCCTCACCATCAGGGATGCAGGTCGCTGTGTTGACAGGTGTATCTGCAGCAGGTGTGTAATACTCTGTGTGGGGACAGACTGAAGGGGAGACCTCAGCGTCCTCTGGTGGGCTCGGCATACTGACTGAGCTGCCGGACTCCTGCGGAGCACCTTCTGGTGTTAAAGAAGACTTTCCTAGAAAACAATGAAGCCACTGGTTTCAGTACGACAGTCTTAAAGCACCATCACAGTGTAGCTGCAAAAGTCCTGCAGACTTTACATCATGCTGATCGCTGTTTTTAGATCTGGTTGCCACTGACTATCATTCATTTCAACAGCAGTCGTATATGAAGGTAAAAAAAAAATGCATTTGCTACAGTATAGGTTTAGTGATTCTCCAGCTAAAGACTGGTTCTTCTGATCAGTGTTAACAACCTGATCAGAATATTGACAGTAGTTATTGATGACCTCATGCCTGTACAGTGCCTGAGTGGTTGAATGAAAAACACACAACTCTGCTTATTTAGCAAAATTACAACTGCTGTTAAGACAAAACAAAAGAGGAAAAATCTGACATTTTAAGAAAATAAATCAGAATTTTGATAAATAAATAAAACAATATGACAACATCAGTTTAAATATTGGATAAAAACATCAAGTTATTCAGAGTATTGAGACGTTTTAAATATAAAATGTAATTTTTAGTGATAGCAGTCCCACGTAATTGTGTTTTATGTGATGAAGCATTATTTATTTTCTCTGGAATAGAAATACAGAACTAGCAGTTAATGTGATGACAATGCTTTTGTGGCTAATATTAACTTTTTGTGAAATCCTTTTACATGCAGTTAAAACATGTGTCATCCTGTGTGTTTCCAAATCCGTCCATAATGCCAAAAACAAGTTTCATTTTTATGTCTTCATGCTCCTGCTCAGTTCAAACCCCCCGACACAACTTCCTGTTTAGTAATAATAGTCAGGAGCAGAATGATTTCAGCATGAAGACAACATGGAAGGATGTTGAAACTTGCCACACCAGTAGATGATACTTCCATCTCTTACTGTTCTAAACTTCATCAGCTGACCCAGGATTCAAGACGTCCATCTGGCTGTAAATATAACCTTTTCTTTGATTGGTCATAACTCCCATTTCTACTACAATATGAAAGCTTTCTAAGCATTAGTGATGTCATTCAGATGTTATTCTCACAATAACATTAATCAAATAGATCCTATGTTTTAGAGACGTGTTTTCTAAATTTTGCGATTTTTGAGCAAATCCTGAATGTGGGAGCTCTTAAGCAAAACATTGTCAGAATTTGCTGCATTCTCTCCGTTCACCAGAAACTCCTAAAAACCCCCTGAACATGTGACGACTCCAGGACGTATACGTCAAGAGATGTGGACGTCTGAAGGTCTCGCTCAATTACCAACATGCTTATTGATCATTTCCATTGGGTAAAAAATTCAAAAAATGTCAGAATTTCAGTGAAATAAAAAAAGGCAGATGTCCGTTCAGATGCCAAAGATCATTCCTTCAAAGCTTCAGGAGATTCTGAGATGGTCAAGCTGCCACCGTCGCTGCTTTGACCCTCATATACACACTTTGTGATCGACTGTATTACTAGACTGGATCCTAACTGATGCAGCTGCAGGATCAACTTTTAATGAAGAGATTTCTTAGGCCAAAAATGTTTCTAATCTCCTCCAAAACTGGTGCAGATCATCAACAGATTGAACCTCGTGAAAGAAAACTCCATGTGGCTTCATGTGTTTCTGAAACACACCAACTAACAGAAAACTTGGTCTGAGCCACACTTTTTACAGGATCTGATCAAGTTGTCACTGCGACTGCTCAACTGCATGAGTTTTTTTTATTTATTTTCAGAATCATTATAAATAATGTGCATGAGGGACAGACCGATTGTGGGTGTGGCTGATATTTGGCCTTTTTCCGATTACTCCTATTGAGCCATTATTGACCAATTAAATACTTTGGGTCTGATGCAGCCTCCTCTGTCTCACAAATGTCTCTCAAGCAGCAAAAATTAAACAAGAAACACAATTTGTTACCACAAACCAGGAAACTAGCTTCTCTCACAGCGGCCAACGCTAACAGCGAGCGGCTAAGTTAGAAGACAGCCACAGATTGAGCTGAAACAGTCTGGAAAACAAAAATTAATAAGATGTGGACCTGAGTGGGCAATAAAGGCAAACGAACAGTGATAGATGAATAAAATAGAGAAGAGAAGCATGTTTTCAAGAACTTACAGGGATGAACCAGTAAACTTAGGCCAGAGTTTGTGGTTTTTCTTGAGTTTTTAAGCGCAACAATCCAAGTCAAACACCAAGTTCACTCACAGTGAGACTCTACAATAAAAGCTTCACTTCCTTCAGGGGATATGATTGAATTAATGACACAGGAAATCACTGAAGAACAGGTTTAACCAACGTGTTGCTGTGACCTGTCTAGACAGGAATATGACAACTCAGCATAACTGATTGACACTTCAATAATCTCACAAGTACTACAGATGGAACCTAATGGCTGCATTCATCGTAAAGAAGAGGCTCAAAGAGAGGGAACTGTGAGTTTAGGTACACGAAGGGTAATTAGGAAGCAGGAGATTCCCATTTGGGACATTACTGGGACTTCAAACTAAATTACGGAGCCTAACTGAAGGACAGAAGCTTTCTTCTTCTACATCTACCGCTACAGGGAGGCCGTGTACCTTTGCTCAATCGCAGAGTGAGCTCTGAAACCACACTGAGCCACTCCTTGGCTCGGTGTGACGTCCGGCCTGTCCGAATGCATGCAAACATAAAAGCATCCTCACTTTGTTGAGCATCGTACAGACAGACGTGTGCTTCAGAGCCGGCTGTGTTTCCTACCTTCATAAACGCTGTTCGCTTTCCAGAAGCTCTCGGACTCTCCGGTCACTCCCAGATCGGAGGAGGTTGAACGTCTGCAACAAGCAAACAAAGGTCATTTTAAAAGACTTTTATCACTTTATTACCGGATTCTCTTCTTGTAGCTCCACAACAACATATCAAAAATGAAATATATCGAGCTCTATAGAGAAAAGACAGAACAAAGAGAGATATTAAAAAGCTAAAAATGTTATTTTAGCCTGATCAAAATCTGTAATTATGGAGTGACAAACAGACATACGATAATAAGTGAGTGATGTCAATAAAACAGTTGATTAAATGTCAGCTTGATACAGGACCACCGGGCGTCTTCTCCATTTTAACTTTTGGAAAGCTATCGAAAGCAACGGAGAAAATAGCATATTGAATATAAAATGTCATCATGTTATCATTTTACCTCGTAGACGTTTGTGTGAAATGTCGTCATGATTAATGTTGGAGTTGTGACCTTTTGTGTAGACCTTTTATTTATCAGATCTTCCTGGAGTCCGAAGCGCAGATTTGTACTAAATGTGAATAAATTTCTCTGAGGTGTTCTTAAGATGTTGTGATCATGAGTTGTTTTATGGCCAAAAATGTGAGCTTTGTCCCCTCCAACATGAAATCTGTGACAGTGAGTCAGGAAACATGAGAGGGGATGAGTTCCTGGTCTATGTGTAAATGCATAACGCACTAAAGGATTCAGGCACAGGTTTTTCTTTTGGGTTGTGTCGTCCATTTTATTCACAATGCTTGTCTCCCTGCATACAAAAACAATTCTAGATCACTATTTTGAGGGAACACACAAAGCTTAGCTGTGCCCACGATGACTGGTTTAAACCCCAGCAGCGTTAGTATAAAGTCTGTGCTGTATGTCGTACCCCAACAACACCCCGCTGAATATATTCCTCTCAAAAACAAAAGTCTACATTCTGGGATTTCAATCAGACGGCATGTTTGCTGCGGCCTGTTGTGGATTTTGTTCTGGTGTCTCTTAAACTACACGTCCTCTCGTGGTCAAGTTCAATATGCAGGTTGGTTTCTATTTATAATGAAACTTGGATAAATGTGTGAGCTGTGCCTCTCTTTGCATGACTCATGATGTTACACACAAAACTTGTTTTAAGTTAAATTTCAGGGGTAACTGGTGTTCCTGCTTGACTTGCAGTTTTTATGCTGGTCATTTAAAAGTTTCCTTCACATGTCTAACGGGCTGAATATGACAATATGATTCTGTTCTGTCATTAGTTCTGTGGTAGCTTACCCCTCTGGTGGCTCTCTGTGGTCCATATCTGGCAAGAAATTAAAAAAAAAAGATAAAAAACAGCTCAAGGCAATCCACAAGCAAAAGAACACTCATTCTGATGTGGAGGAAATACAGCAGTCAAGTACACGATGGGTTTACCTGAGTGGTCCACTGGGGGGTTCTGGTCCTCCGGGGTAGTACTGGCTGATCCATTTAGGCCCTGCTGTGGTGTCTCTTGGGCTGAACTTGTGTTGGCATAAAGATGCGACACCGCCGTGTCTGTGGTCAAGTCGCTCCTCATCGGAGAACAAGAACTGATTCCAGGAGGTCCGATGTCATCGTCGTCAAACTCAAAGGTCTCCCCCTGCTCATCTTCATCCTCGTCGTCTTCTAAGTGGGATGCCCCGTTAGATAAAGACACTGAGGGATGGGAAAGAACGGTTTTTATTCTTATTATAGTTTGTGTAGTTTTACAAGTTACACAGAGTCTTCAACCATCTCTGATTTGCTTGAAACTTGGATATTTAAATGATATCTGAAATTTTACACTGATATAAAAAGTGATTTCTGAGACAATATTGTGCAGAACCCACGCTGCACAGGGACAACATGCAAACTCCACACAGAAAGATCCCGCATGTCCTCACCGGGACACGAACCGGTGACCTTCTAGCTGCAAGGCAACGGTGCTACCAACTGTGCCACCTTACAGCAAAATGAAAAACCAAAAGTACCGACAAAGCAACCTGGGCTTCAGTAACACCTCAGCAGTGCCACAGGCGGATCAGCTCAATGCCACGCCGCACTGATGCAGTCATTAGTGGTAAACAAACCACAACCAAGTAGTGAGTGTATAAATAAATCTACTTTTCAGAAGGTGGACATTTCTATATCGTAAGTCGTCTCTAAAAAATTGATCTTGGGAAACATTCTAGTAAATTGCGTCAGTGGATTTCTGGTTTATCTGAGCCGTAAGTCATAATCGTTAAAATTAAAACAAAAAAAGATGCTGTTTGTTAATAGTTCCATCATTTAGGTGTCACAGACTGGTAACTCATCCAATACCATAAACCTTTGTCAGCGTAGGAGGTGTTTGAGGTGTTGGTAGGTATACACACCTACAGTCCCACTGACTAACCAGTGCCATGGTGTTCCAGTTAGCATGACGAGCATTAAAAGGTGTTCCCACACGTCTGCAGGTGGAAGCCAACAAACTAATACTATGGGTGTGTACAAGACATGTTTTTTGGATTTAACACTCCTCTGCACTTGGATTCACCTCAAGACTGCTGGGTTGGACCATGAAGTCTGTCAGTGAAGGAAACAACTCACCAATAATCTCATTTATTGCAAAATTAGACAGTAAATTGAGGAGGTTGTTGTCGAGCGCTTCACCGAGCAGAACGGGAAACCACTGACACCGTGGATTAGACTCTTGAAGCAGTTAAGAGGAGAGATTACGCTCTAGACATATGGCTTTTAAGCGCTAACCCTTCACCTGTCAGTCCTCGTTTGAACCACAGTTTACACACCCAAGCGACGGCAGCAACAACAAGGCTGACGCTGCTTGCCTAACTTGCCTTAAGGCTTCTGGAGCCCTGAAATGAGGCCGTGAAAAATGTGTTGTGTGGAGAACATCAGCAGAGCGCTGACACTTCCTCCAGTTCATCTTACACTATGCTATGCTTTCAGCCGCTTAGCTCCACCGGGAGGCATCCAGGGGTCACTGTGCCGTTCCTTCTGCCGGCTGCTTCTCAACCGTCTGACAGGTAGATTTGTGTCAAGGTGCAGCAGATGGCCCTCGTAGACTCCGTCTTACGCAGCAGATGCTAACTAGGGTAGCAGGTCCGTGTTGCTTGTCAAGCAGCAGGGGATTAATTAGTCACCTGCAGGCAATCTGCCGAGCCTCGGTGCACCAGTCGAGTTCAGACTTTACTTTTTTTTGCGTAACTTTATGTCACAGAACAGACATAATAGTGAACTGATATTACTTTCAATTTTGTTGAAAAGGCAAAAAAAAAATGCAGCATAAAGTAAACTTCTTGAATTAGTCCAATGGATTAAAAAAAAGGTTCCTCTCACAGGTGTCAGACCTAATTCTGCTCAGTTAAGGTTTTATTTTAACACATATAATAATATGACACATATTTAACACGTTATCTTACCAGCTTTTGGGGAAGATCTGAAGTCTCCTGTCAAGGGATGGATTTTCTAAAGATTACAAACAGTTTCCTCTCGGATCACTTCAATTACAATCTGCTGCAGGGTCATTATGTAGTTTTTTTTAAAAAACTGCCTACCCAAGTTTTACAGTTTATTACAGAGGCTAAAGGTCCAACAAGGGCTCCTTTCCAGTGAGTGTACTGAAGCTAAGGTACGTCAGGAAGAGTTAAAACATACAAGTGTTGATGCTGAGTGTCATTATGAGGCCTGAATGACTCACTCAAGGGCTGACACACGAACGGAGAGGAAGAGGTCATCCTGGGTCTCCCTTAATGGCCACATCAGCTCCTATGGATGGAGAAAAAAAACCCAAACAAATCACCTGCATGCACTAGTTTGCACCACCTTTACACCAGTTTGAACAGAATACTGCACATTACAGCCAACCAGCTACTGTTACACGCCTCAGACAGCTTACAGCCTGAGTAATGTTCACTTCTGTTCTAAGATAAGATAAGATAAGCCTTTATTGATCTCACAGTGGAGAAATTCACATTGTTGTCAGCAGCAGTACACACAGAGATTCACACATACTAGACATAAAAATGTGCATATAAGAAATAGTGCAAACACAAGTATAAAAGCACACAAATAAAAGAGATTTAACTCTCAAATTTGACCCATTTTGACATCTGATGGCAGTAAAAATACCCCAAACATCAGTCTTTTAGCCTGATTAATTGTCCTAAAGTGACCCAAAATACATTTTAAAATGTTTTACTTTAGGTGCTACAGCTTTTTGTACACTGAGGTCGTTTGGGTTCAGATTTGACCCGTGTGTCCACTGAGATGGATATTAGAGCTACCTGTGTGACTCAAATAAAATAAAATGGTGGTTTTAGGGAATCTTGGAACTGCGAAACTGTTTTATTTACAGCTATTAATGTGACACAGACGTTCTAAATAGTTTAAAATCTGGTATAGACACTTACAAACAGTACGTACGGGTTAAGTTATGCGTTCATACTGCATACTTGTCTGAGAATGAGTGTTCAACTAAACTCTATAAAACAAATAAATATTCCAAATAATGTCTGAAAAGTAGCATTCAAAACCAGAAATCCAACGGCAAGTACTTTAGTAAACACACACATAGAGGGGATGTGACAGAGACGGTGCTACAACAGGATAGTAAAGTATTGTTTCATCTGAGCAGTCATAACACTCACACCCATACGTACAGCCAGAATGAAGAACAGCGGTTTTGGCAACTGGTGTTTATCCGTGTGGATAACTGGCTAAAGCTGCATTTTGTCGCTTTTCGCCAGAGGCAACACGAGCACGTTAAATTCTTCCCCAACAAATCCAGACTTGTTATTTCCCAGACTGTTATTCAGCTACATGACGTGCCACTCAAACACGAAACTGTAGCTTCTGAGAGCTCTGAAAACCAGGTAACCGCTCGTAAAATCCTGTTTTGTTCACACGTAAAAAAAAAAAAAAGGCTCATCAACCCACAATCTAGACCAACACAAAGTCAACGCTGTCTTTTTTAGCACTGGAAATCATGTGTGGTCGCATATAAAGACGTTAATGTTCAGATAAAAAGACTCAGAGAAGAACAATCTTTTGTGCCGAGTTGAATGAAGACAAAAATAGATGAATAATTCAGCAGGCCGTCGGGGAAAGCCTCTATTCTGAGGAAGGGTCCGTGGGTTTAGCGGCTGAATGGACAATAGCGGAGAGAGAGGGCGCTGAAAACAGCCGCTGGATTGTCCACACTAAGTTATCGAGTCAGTCTGAGCCTAAAGCCAAACATGAAAACACGATGGAGGCGCATTCCTGCATAATGTTTCACTCGACGGTGACGTAGCCTCTCGTATCAGAGGAGAGGCTTTGGCTCCGTTAGGATTAGAGAGAAAAATGATTCATCGTTCAGTCAGTCGGGTCAGTCTGATGTCAACAACTGCTGGTGAGACTGAACTGGGAGCTCCAAAGCGCGGCACTGGGAGGACGAGTCCGAATGATTGTTGTTTAGCATCACTATCGGTTAAAAGGTTTACCATTTTGGTACAGAGGATGCTATCTCTGCCGCCGTTGACTAGAATTCATCAAAACAGTTTTGGGTATTTCTGGTCCGTAGGGGTTGACACGTCCTTTACTTTGATTCATGACGAAATACCCGCTGAACTTTCCCATTAGCCTCAACCATACTATCTGTTTAATCCTTAATTGCAAATTGCATTCATTAAGTTCTACATATCAGAATGTGGCTATCAGGGATGGATCTCCTTTGGATTTCACCAATCCAGGGGTGTCGAACTCTGGTCCTCGAGGGCCCCTATCCAGCATGTTTTAGATGTGTCCCTCTTCCAACACACCTGATTCACATGATCAGATCATCATGAAGCTCTGCAGAAGCCTGATAACGATCCTGATCATTTGAATCAGGTGTGTTGGAAGAGGAACACATCTAAAACTTGCAGGATTGCGGCCCTCGAGGACCGGAGTTCGACACCCCTGGCGGTGGTAAATGGGTTGGACTGAGCCTGTCCATGGAAATATTACACCGAAACACTACAGAAGGGCTTAAATCGACGACTGTGACACAGCAGATAACTAACTGTATGGACTTATCTGTGTAACATGAACTGGAGTTGTAACCTGAACTTTTAGTTTCGTTTCTCCCCGTAGCTCAGCGGTTCCACGACTGCACTAGCATTAGCTGCTATCATTATATATTCATGGAGTGTTGAACTTGTGAGGTTTCATGAGGTTGCTGGTGTTACCTCATGCACCAGTGCCACAATGCCAGGTGCACTGGGAGCAACTTGAGACTCAGTGTCTTGCCCAAGGACACTTCGACATCTTGCCAACAGACTGCATGTAGCTGCTCGGTTGATACGTCTAGAAAAGTGAGGCCGAACTTTTGATCACTTTGCGCTGTCCGTCATTAAACTGCTGCAGAAAGCAGCCGCACAACAGCGTAACGCCATCGCCTGACTCCAGCGGCTTCGTCATCATTAGGGGACGGTTGCGTTCTACGTTAGTTTGAAATAACGTTGCACAGTTCACGTCATAAATACTCATAACAGCAGTTTACTGAATTGCCAACTATTCCTAGTTGCTATTGTAATTTACTCGCTATCACTGAGCTAAAAGCAGAGCTTAGTTCATCGACTGTAGAGGGAAGTCAATGCACAAGGGCCTTAAACTTGCATTCTTTCTCCCAGCCACCAGGGGGCGACTCCACCAGTTACTAAAAGAGTTCTGATTTTATGAGATTATGATGTCACCTGATTTACTACCTCAGTAAATGTTAATTAGTTTATGGTCTCAATCGGTAGATTAAAGTCTCCTTCAATACAGCACGGTGTTCATTTAGAAAACGATGGTCCCATTTAGAGGAAAATGGATGATAAAGCTGTTTCAGGGTGTGATAGTGGTCGTATGGCCGTGTATGATGTCCTCCGGTTCTTACTCCAAAAATCAATATGGTGACAGCCAAATTCCAAACTCGAGGCTTTAAAACTTTAGTTTGCCACCCAATGTGTGACATCACGGTGGCTTCACTCGTCTTTATTGTACTGTCTGAAGACTCGGTACGACTTCCCAGACCGGCCGGCACATCTGCCGAATCCGACTGATCTCAGAATGACGCCGACTCCCTCCAGCAAGTCAAGACTACGAGACAAACTGACCAGCTTCATGCTTCCTAACCCCCTGAGTTTTCCTCTTTTACCCCAATGAAAACAAATGTGTTATTTTAACCACTCCATGAGCTTCCTGTTCAGTTATGCAGCATGTTTATAAAAGCATGAGACTGTAAACACCATAGTCTGGAGGAACACTTTTTATCTATGAACTTTAATCTTGCAACAAACTAAGGACACGACTTTAACCAAACCTCATAGATGCTGTGATAGAAACACACATAATGAAGCGTAACACTTCCTCTGACTGCTGGGTTTTGGGATTACTGATTAATGATGACGACAACTCAGTGTTCGGCAGTAAAGCATGACTGAGACAAAAACTCAAAGCAGCGTCTGACGAGAAACACTGATTGTTTTTTCTCTGAGCTGCAGCAACACTGAGGTTTTATTACAGGCTTTGAAGACACACCTGAACCTGGAGCTGTAGTGTGACGTGCATCCATAAACCTGGTCACATGAAAACCACCTGCACTGTGTAAAGATTTATTTCCATTTCTTAGGTTGGCCTCCAACTTATGATTGTTTTTTATTATTGATTCATCTGTTTTCTTACTTTTACACATTACCTGCACTAAACAAACAACAAACATTTGCACATTCTTATTCACATTTTATATTTTCTGATTAATTTACTGCCTATTTTTGCTTATTTATCCCTATTTATGGTTTTACTCTCTCTTTACTGTAACTAAAAAATATATATATACGTTTTTTTTGGTCTGTAAAACTTCTTTTTTTCTAAGAGGACAGAATTAAATGAAATAATTGTCAAGTTCAACATAAGAGCAGAGGAAGGTAAATGTGGCATTCATTACAGAAAAAACACTTGAGAGATAAACACAGATCAATAAATGGATTGATCAGTGCAGCTCTGATCTGTGGTGGATCTTACTGCAGGATCCTGGTGGAGCTGTGCCCACTAGAGGAGGACGTGTCCCTCTTTTTATTATTATTATAAATGATTTCTTATTAGATGATTATTGTGTTTATGTCAGTGAAGCAGATTTCAGTCCAGAACGCAGACTAATAGTTCTCCTGTTCAGGGTTTTCTCTGGAGTAAACAGCTCAACACACTTCATGCTCAGATCCTGCAGCTTCCCTCCCTGAGTCCGGACCCCCTCCTGCCCTGCGGAGAACCGGACGAACCGGGCTCACCTCCAAGTCCCGCCAGCGCAGTCCGGCACCGCGTCCCCGCTCTCCTACTCCATAATCGGGGCTTCGGTCAACCGCAGGATCCTCCAAGAAACTCCTGGTGCTGTCGCGGGTTTCCTCCTGGCTTCCCTCTCTCCTCCCCTTCCTCCTCTGGCCCGCCGGCAGCAGCAGCAGCAGCAGCAGGGGGCGCCTCGGTTCCTCCTCCGGCACCGGCCGCCGGCTGCTCAGGGCGGAGATTAGACCTCCGAGCAGAGTCATGTGTCTGTTGGATAAATGCAATGTGTCGCCATTTACCTCCAGCATCCAGGAGTGCACACAGGCGGCTACAGGTCACTGCTTCCTTTATGTTTTCTTTTACAGACAGAAAGAAAACAGTGAAAGAGTTTCTGTAAGTTGGGCAGGCTGCTGTGTTTTTACTGAATGGACACCAGGTGTCAGTGTTGTCCAGGCGGTGTCTGCAGAGGCTGCACTCTCAGGGCCCCACTTCTAGGACCCCACTTCCAGGACTCCACCTTTAGGACCCCACTTCTAGGACCCCACTTCCAGGACTCCACCTTTAGGACCCCACTTCTAGGACCGACCTTCTGGGATCCCACCTCTAGAGCTCCACTTTTATGACCTCATTTCTAAGATCCAACTTCTAGAATCCCATCACTAGGACCTCACTTTTAGGACCTCACGTCTAGGAATGTAGAATATTATTAACATTTTATTAGTTTAAAAAACATATTAATTTATGGGCACATTGAGTCATCCATCCACACCTTAATCCTCACTAGGGTCGTGGGGGGCTGGAGTCTATCCCAGCCGACTCAGGGTGAAGGCAGGTTCACCTGGACAGGTAACCAGTCTATCACAGGGCTACACTTAGAGACAGACAACCAAGCACACTCACATTCACACCTACGGACAATTTACAATCACCAATTAACCTCAACATGTTTTTGTGGGAGGAAGCCAGAGAACCCGGAGAGAACCCACGCTGCACGGGGAGAACATATAAACTCCACACAGAAAGATTCCGGTGCCCCCAACGGGACGTGAACCGGCAACCTTCTTGCTGCGAGGCAACAGTGCTACCAACTGCGCCACCCTGCAGCCCACATTGAGTCATAATTATATTAATTATTAGGTTTAATTAATCGACAATGACTTAAATAAACAAAGTAGTAATTAAATATGCATTTACTTAAATCTGTGTTCACATAAAAACGTGTTTAATATATTTTTAAAAAAAAACTATAATAGCTACAAAACTAAATTAGCTAAAAAACAAAAAAAATGTGTGTGACAACAATACATGAAAGCATAAAAATGACATAAAATGCAGTTATGGAATTAAATGACAGAAAAAAAATAATTAATTACAAATTAAAAAAAAGAAATTCAGTTGTAGTGAAAACTAATATGAAAAGCTTCACAAGAGGGCGCTGTGCGATAAACCGCCTTCAAGGCTGTTCTTTATTTTTAAAAAAAGCTAAAAAAAAAAAAAAAAAGTATTCATGTTTGGATATTACTCGTGGAGACTGAACAGACTTAACTTCATGTCGTGTGTCTACTTACAGTTTACTGGATGAATCTGTGAAGCTGAGCTTCCACATTAGTCTGACCTGGGCAGGTAGTTCTCATCGATGAGGTGTCCAGGAAGTAATCAGGTCCACAGTGGAGAGAGAAAAGCCAGAACCTGCAGCCCTGTGCTCTGACTTTATACAACATGACACGTCTGACAGCTCAGGTTTCCTCAGCTGCCGACCGGCTGGCTGCTGTTATCAGACGAAAAGCTTTAATTGATCTGTGTAATGGAAGTGGACAGCGGCGTGAGACCACAGCGACGTCTGCTGTCAGCTGCATTTAGACGGCAGCAGCTAATTGGTGAATCGCTGCCATGTTCCCTGCATGAATCACCTCCTCTCTCTCTCTCAACAGTCAGTTTTTATTTCACAGGAAGTTGGAAGCTAAAGATGAAATTAGTTGGCTTCATTTCTGTCCTCGGTGGAGGCAGAAGGCTGTCGTCACGGCGTCTGCTGCTGTAGGAGGCTTCGTCCTGTTTGTTTATCTGAATTTAGTGGCACAAATACAGCATATGTAGACCATCCAGCATCATGAAGGGCTTTAACTCACACTCAGCTCTTCATGTTTTGAACAGGAATGAGGAATTTATAACTGAATTCTCCTTTTTAGACCCAAATCTGAGCCACTATAAGTCATTTTTTCTGTTCAGGAATGCAAGTGAATGACTATAATCTGACATCTTAACCAAGAAATAATAATGTGCTGTATTGTTTTATCTGTTTTTTGTAAAACTAATGTTCACGTATAAGAATAATAATCATATGTTAGCATTAAAAACATCACTTTGGTTAAAGAGCTTCTACATACTGGTGGATGAACAATCACAGAAACATATGAAATGATTTAGGTAATTACTAAAGCTGTTAATTTATGGCATAAACCTGACGTTGGGTGGTGGTCTCATAAATGTGTTAAACTCTTTATATTGTATTTACAGACCCCAGATCATGCATCCCAGTAGATTGTCTCAGTAGCTGTTGGGAGGATTACCTTTAGGACGTTTTAATCAGGATGACCCACAGTCACTGTTCATGTTGCACCCTCATCAGATAATGAATCAACAGCTGTGTATTTATCAAAATAATACACTGAATCATAATGCTTGAAAAAGGAAAAAGAATTCTTCATATGAAAAAAAAAAGAGTTTATTGATCTTTGTGAAGGACGTGCAGTTACACTATGTGGCTAACTGGTTGGTTTCTTTACATGCTCATGTTATTTAGTGGATAATGGACGCTGCAGAATTCAGTACATAAACAGCTGGTTGTCACTTCAAACGCACACACACAGAAAGATGCACACAGTTGAACTGGCACTGCAAAATAAACGACGTTCCCAATGTCTTTAGTCGCGTCTTCAGCTCCAACGTGTGCCCGAGGAAACTCCAGACTAACCTGGAAACGACACAGAAAGGAACGCGTTAGTTTCTGTAGCTGGTCACATGACAGCACTGTTATAATTTCATCTAGCAGACGTTTTTATCCAAAGCAACCTACATCTGAGAGAAGATACAAAGGAAAGCAGGCGGGGCGGCTTTAAGGACCTCGTCTAGGGGCTTTTAATGGACAGACTGCATCATGACGGGGATTTGAACCCCTGATCTCTCATGCCAACGTTGGGGGTGTTACCACTGAGCTGTTTCACTGCATCGTTATGTCGTTTTAAAAGATGGTAGAAACGACATTCACCTAATATGAGGTCAGATGTAGCTGGAGGACAACCACTGCACTGCATTCTACCTTCAGATTGCAAACAAGCTGGAGCTTTTCCAGCCTCTTCACCAACACAACCTTTGGACTTGTTTGTTTTCTCTAACTCCTCCCTTGGTCTCCTCTCCTCTGTCCTGCAGGCTTACCTCTCCCACTGTTGCATCCCAGACCGCTGGAGTTTCCTATTCGATCCATCCGGGCTCCAAAGCAGCCGGAGGCCCGTTTCCTGGCGGTCAGCAGCAAGTCCTGCAGGCGGTTTCTCTGACTGCGGCCCTCGGCGGCTTTCTGAGTTCTTTCCGATATCACCGGTTCTCGGTTCTCCTCACGGTCCAGGCTCCATCCTTGGCCGGGCTCGGGTCTTTGGTTTATCTCCTCGTAATCGGCTTCAGGGTCGATCTCCTCCTGGGCTGCATCAGCCAGAGTCTCCTCGAAGCGCTCCAGCAAAGACTGTTGTGGAGAGATGACGGTTTACAGTCAGATCTCAAGTCTGCTTACATTTATGTCTGTGTATGTTTTAGACATTAAGAGTTCAGAACCACAAGATATCAGGAAGTAGAGATAAGCCCAGACCTCGGCCTCATGGGAAATGGCGTTTGGTTAAAACTGCTTGAGAACAAAAACTATAGTAATAAAGTTTATGGTTTTAAATTAAGTTTGCAAATATATTGAGGTCAACCTGAGAGTATCGTGAAAAATGTCACGATTGTTGAATAAACAGTGTTTAACAAATTAATGAGACCACCACCCAACGTCAGGTTTAAATGAACAGCTTTGGTAATTACCTAAATCATTTCTTATGTCTCTGTAATGGTTCATACACCAGTATGTAGAAAATCTTTAACCAAAATGCTAAAATATCATAAATGTTATTGTCATCTATGAATTTTCAGATTTAGTGTTTTACAAAAAAAAAAAAAACTGACAAAACAGCAAAGCACATTATTATTTCTATTATTTCAAAAGGAAGCAGTGTGTTTGAGGTGTGTCTTAAAATACATCCACAGGTGCCTCCAATTAACACACATGTTGTCAATTAACCAATCAAAAGCTTCCAAAGCCGTGACATCATCATCTGGGCTTTCCCAAATAGTTTGAAGGCATCTTAGTGGATGTAAACTTCTGACTTTGAAGAAAGTAATAAAAACAAAATTCTCTCTCATTATTCTGGCGTTTAGCAAATATAAATAATGTTGGTGATCCTAACTGACCTAAAACAGGAAGCGTTTAGTCTGATTTAAAGTCAGAAAGTGAGAAAAAAACAGGTTATGTGTCTTTTTAAACAGTGGATGTAAACGTCTGGTTTCAGCTATACGGTGCTAAACGAGTTGGACAGGTGGTCTAATAAATGTGTTAAACACTGTACATGTGTAGGTTTACCATCTATTAATACAAGCCCCTTCTATTTAACACACTTTAATCTGTTGCATATTTAATTCAATGTAACCCAAAATAAAATAAAAATATCTCTCTATCTATATGTTGTTTTTATTTATTTTAACTTTATTCAAAATCAAACACATTATTGCAATTATTTATTTTATGCCAAGTGTATCTACATCATCAGTGAGATGTTTTATTTTCATGATGTACACAATCAGACACCTGCACTTCATGGACAATCCACGTCGCAAAAATTATACAAATTAAAGCTCATTTATGCAAATTACTATTATATAATTTAGTTTTACTCATCAGAAGCTTTAATAAATACTCCGGTTTCGAAAAATTAGATTTTTTCTGGCAGTTATTTCATGGTTCAGGCTTCACAGGGTTAATTCGGCACATTTGTAGCAGCAGCTCTGAGCCTTCTTGGGTAAAACTCTAAAGGCTTTTCACACCTGGGCTTCGGGTTAATTCTGTTCTTTTCTGATAGATCTGCTTAAATTCTGCCGGATCAGATGGGAATTGTCTGTGAGGTTCCATTCTGAGGCCTTCACACAGGTCAGGTTTAAGGCCGGCACCCATAAAGGAAAACTGAAGAATTCTCCTGAAGCTACTTGTTTGCTTCAGTTCCTCCTTGTCATATAAAATGAATGAGAAGCAAACCCCATAACCAGAGAGACCGTGAGGTTACGGCCCAAAGATGTTGTTGTCATTTGTGTTATTGCAAAATTAGTGCACATCCAGCTGCTCTGTATAATGACTCAGAATGAGAATTAGCATCGACTAGTCAGAGTTTGTTCAGAAACTAAGCTTTGACTAATGATGGAAGTTTTTTTAAAGGGTTTCAGACTAAATCATGCATTTGATTAAAGTCTCTAATGAAGCTTCTGCTCTGTGGAGCGATGAGGAGACAGTGATCTTCCTCAACTACCACAAAAAAGTCTTCTTGTTTGACCTGATCTCAGTTCACTCGCGCCGCCTGGAAACTGCCTGAAACTCTTAATGTTCACATAATAATCATGGAAACACGTTATTTGTGCTTTCTATTAAATTTAACTGTCGGTGGAAAATTGAAAACCTGCCACCAACCCGTGGAGCACTTGTTGATTTAAATTATTGCCGCTGTTAGTGCTTAATAGCTCCTTAAAAGAGCCTCGCTGGGTCGCATGCTGGTTAGGTTTTTAAAAAGCAGAGCAAGTTTAGGGGCTTCATAAAGCTGCTGATATGTGCACAAGCTTCAGCTTTCGTCTATTTCGAGGAGATTAGTGTCAAATGCAGCTGCTTTAAACTGTCAGATTTTACATATTTACATTTAAAAAGTCACTATAAGTAACCCGATCTGGCTCTGTAACTGAAAGTGGCTGCCACTTGGTGAACAATTCCCATATGGCTCTAATATCTGACATTTCTCGTTCATATTTATTAATCTTCCACCACGAAAAGAAATGAAAAACAATTGGGGTGGAGAAGTTTTAGTAAAACACCTGACATGGAAAATCACCTTTGGCTCTGTCAACCAGTTAAACAGACAGAAGTTAGACATTAACTTGTTCTTTTGTGTTTATTCAGTGTGTTTTTATTGTCATTTAATTTGCATTTTCCTTTTTGGTGACGTGGTTTTTATTCCATCAAGCACACCAACATATTAGAGCTTCAGTTAGTTTTTAATACTCACTGCTGTCAGTTCTTAAAAGCATCAGACAGCAGTTCTAACTACTGTGTGCTATCGTGGCTCTTTTCTGAAGACTTTTAAAGGAGACAACTAGAAAAAAAAACTAATATTTCTGTGTATTTTACACTCTGAGGCTGCAGAACCGACGCCCTCACCACACGGTCAGATTGGAACATTTCATTAATCCATGTAAACTAAATTTGTGTTCTTACAATCCTTGTGTCCTTCTGTTTTTCTTATTTATATTGTACATATAGTGTATAAACCTTTAACTCAGAGTTGTGTTTTCTTGTTTTGCTGTGACGTTACTTGTGGGATTAATAAAGGATATTCAATCTAAAAAAATCAATTGAAATAAATACTGCATGCTGAAATATCATAAGAAGCCGTAGAAATGTTATTATTTATGATTATTAATGTAAAGCGTGAACGGTTTTAGCTGCAGACCTGTGAACCAGTTCTAGTAACAGCTCAGCACATGACGACTTCATCACCTGTGACCGAACCACATCGTTCTAACTAACTCCTTGTGTGACGCTGAGACCACCTGAAGGGCTGCTGTGGTTCCTTACCTTGAGCTGGGTCAGGTCACTGGTGGAGGAGGGCCTTCCCAGTACGTGGCTGCTGACCAGCGTTTGCTGAAACAACAGGACCAGCAGGCCCCACAGCACCATCGTTCTCATGTTATCCCTCTGCTACTACTGATGCTACGGCCGCCGCCGCACACATTTTATATACATGTCGGCACACACATACGTAGCGACCCACAAACATTCACCGAGCAACCGACCGGCAGCGTCAGTGACTCATCATTTTGTAAATTGCCTCCTCAAGTGCATTCTGACACCTCGGCACGATAAGGCAACTTGTCAGATGTCTCTTTAAGTGCTGCTTAGTGGTAGGTGATGTGTGTGTGTGTGTGTGTGTGTGTGTGTACAGTATACATGTCTGCGTATCATCATGTTTACCAGCCGGCGGTGGCATGACCTCAGGAGCCGTCTCGGGCCTCTGAGCTCAGACGTGGTGTGTATTGACGGGAATGCAGCATTCGCCGAGCAAATACTTCACACTGTCATGAAGTCACGTCCTGTTACGAAGCCCGAAAAGCACCATAGTAGGTTAAAACCGCCGCTCCTGGGCCGCCGAGGGTCGACATGATTTAGATTAGGAGAGGAAACTGGTGCAATCTAAGCCACACAATGTTTTCTTCACAAATTATTTTTAGCAGCTTGTAAAATTGCATATGTGATGCTTGTTTTTAGCTCGAGTTCAACAGATTGTCTAGAATTCTTCTAGATAATCTTCAGAATCAGTGAGCTGAAGCTGAGATTTTTGATTTTGAAATGACGAGTTAAAGTCAAATCATGAAGCTCTTTCATGGTTTTTGTGGCTATTTTATAGTTCTGTGGTAGTAAAGTAGCTACTTAATGGTCTGAAGAGGACGTATTAGGATTCATTTGACTTCTAATCGTCAGTTCTGCTCAGTAAACACGGAGTACGTCGACACAATCAGCATCCAATACGTGTAAATGTGGTTCAGACGGAACACAGAGGAAGGTCTTGAAGTCGAGCATCGGTTGGTTTGAGACTAACTAAATACTTCAGCTGATGTAAATAATGAAACGAAGTGTTGTTGGCGTCACCACATGCACCATCCATCTTCTATACACCACTTTATCCTCACTAGGGTCATGGGGGGCTGGAGTCTATCCCAGCTGACTCAGGGTGAAGGCAGGTTCACCTGGACAGGTAACCAGTCTATCACAGGGCTACACTTAGAGACAGACAACCAAGCACACTCACATTCACACCTACAGACAATTTAGAATCACCAATTAACCTCCTTCCTGTGTGGGAGGAAGCCGGAGAACCCGGAGAGAACCCACGCTGCACGGGGAGAACATGCAAACTCCACGCAGAAAGATTCCGGTGCCCCCACCGGGACACGAACCGGCAACCTTCTTGCTGCGAGGCAACAGTGCTACCAACTGCACCACCTTGCAGCCCCCACATGCACCAAATGGAGGAATATTAGTCAAATATTAAAGCAATCATCAGACATTTTCTAAAACACATTCGTATATATGAAGAGTTCATTTGCAAAAACAGAAAACTCCATTATTTGTAGCTTTTGTTTTTTGTTGTTTGCTTGAGACAACATCCATCAAACTGAAGCTGAGTGGATTCGACTCAGCAGAAATGACACGACAAAAGTAGAGAGAACTCAAGTTTGACTGATGTTGTCTCAGGTAGACGATGGAGAAGTTGGTTTTGTGAAGGTTTGTAAAGATGGAGTTCTCTGTTTTTGCAAATGAACTCTTCATATGTTGATGCACCATAGCTCAGCTCCCAATACTAGAGGATAATGTCATTCATGATAATGCAGACACCTCCTTCAACTCATACATGTTGGATTCAATCACCTGTGGACCATCAACTCTCTACTTTCTCAGGAATGACTCTGATATATTGGTGCTGGCAGGTGAGTAAATGGACTCTTCATATGTTGCCCGTAAAGTTGGAATAAGTTTTGTTTTCAGACACATTCCTCTTTTTATTTCTATTTATATCCATCAGTAATCACTTCTGACCAATGATACTGAGTCCCAGTTACCCAACGGTGAAACCAGTTCTGACTTTGGGTTCTGACTGAAGAGTGGACGTCCTGTCAGGGGCGGCCAGACTCAATATTAGTGACATTCGAAAGAGTAATACCGGACGTTCTAATGCGTGAAATCCCCTCGAATATGTGTTTCCTGTTCTAACCCTGAATCCTATTGTTCAGTAAGCCTGGACAGACGGTTTGCAAAAGTTAATTGTGGTTTAATTTTTGCTGTATTGTATGTATGTTGTGACATCAATACAGTTTTAAGAAGATATACACTTTATCGATCAAGAATTAGGTTAAAAAAAAACCATTTTATTCCAACTTTATGGGTGACAGTGTGATATTTGAACTTTTGACAAGGCTCACCTATCAGCTGAAAACCTTTTCTCACAAAGCTGCTGAAGATGTTGTCAAGAGGAGGGAAGAAGGTGTTTCCTGTGATGAAGACGAGACGAGGAAATGAAGAGTGTTGGGGGAGGGTCTGGTCACGGCGTCAGCTGTCAACTGTGAGCAAAATAACACCAGACTTTGCTTGATGCATGTGTAGTTTTGGACACTTTGTGGACACGTTTTTTGCAGCAACGCGTCTCGTTGTGTCGTTGTAAAAAAAAAATTGTACGAGAGCAGAAAAGTGGTGCCTGCTGTCACACAACGATGCAACTCACAGGAAATATCTATTAAGACAGTCGTTCTTCAGGTACTGATTCTAATAAAATGGGAAGATGGAATGGTTTTTACCAGCAGGGTGTTGTGATACCGTTCTACTCCTGGTACACCACACAGGGGGAGTTCTAGCCGCTATGATATGATGACTTTGTCTTGGAGCTTTTCAAGGCGGCTTTGTAAAGATGTGGTGATGAGAATTCAGTCACGGATGCTCACTAAACATTTGGGGACATTTTAAGTCCGGCACTAAGGATCTGAATTTCAGACTCACCACTTTAGAACTTGGAGTGTTTTCAGCTCATGTGATGAACTGGGACTGGGACGCTATCGAGGTGAGTTTGTAGATGGATCAGGGACAAAGAAAATCCTTTATTGATGATGCTGATGATGGCACATTTGTCAAAGTGGAGCTTTATTGACCACTCATGTCCAAAAAGAGCTGCCGTATTGACCGGATGCTGAAGAAAGATTTAAAGTGGACAGTTCTGTTTGAAGACCGAGACAGGAAAGGAGCTGTTATTTGGTGCATGTATGGACTAGAACGATGCCATATTCATCCATCCATTATCTATACACCGCTTTATCCTCACTAGGGTCATGGGGGGCTGGAGTCTATCCCAGCTGACTGAAGGCAGGTTCACCTGGACAGGTAACCAGTCTATCACAGGGCTACACTTAGAGACAGACAACCAAGCACACTCACATTCACACCTACGGACAATTTAGAATCACCAATTAACCCCTGTGACCCTAATGAGGATTCAGCGGTGCATAGATGATGGATGGATGGATGGATGGATGGATGGATGGATATTTTTGGACTGTGGGAGGAAGCTGGAGAACCTGGAGAGAACCCACGCTGCACTGGGAGAACATGCAAACTCCAAGCGGAAAGATCCCAGGTGTCCTCACCGGGACGTGAACCAGCGACCTTCTAGCTGCGAGGCGACGGCGCTAACCACCGAGCCACCTTATGCCATATTCGATTATAGAAAAGTTCTGTTCTGGCTGCTGGAAATAACAAACACTGCCACGTCTAGCAGATCTAAAAGTTCCTAACAAGCCGTGATGGTCGCTGATACCAAAGGCCCCCGACGGCAGGAGCTTTGATGAAATGAAGATGTTCAGTTCCTGTTGGTTGATTCTACATGAACATGTTTGGTAAACTGAAACAACTGTGACCAACATTTTGGGATCAGTGAAGCTCCTCCTGCCTTCACGCTACGTTACGTCCTCATTAGAAGCATATTAAAAGACTGTGGAAGCCACAGACACGATCATAACCCGATGACTCGGTTATAAATAAGAGGCTGTTGAACCTTTTATGCGGTATTTGGCCAATAACACTCTGGCCTTAGTTTTGTGATTTAGTTTTGAGGTTGTTTGCTGACGTTGTCCTTCTGTACTTGCCATCATGTGAACTCGAGCAACAGGACAAATGTCCCCTCGAACCTTGAATCCTCAACCTGGGCTGGTCACGTGACACTACTCAGTTACTCAGATTACTTTTTGGTTTCAATGAGTAACCTATCGTGTTAGTTTTATAATAAATTGTGCTCCATCGTACTAACCCTAAAACTGATGTTGCATTTCCATCAGTCTGCAGAGTTCCTTAGATCATTAGTCCCAGACGAGGTTATGCAACCAGGTGGAATCAAAGGTAGACGACATGCTTTCTGGAAATATAACCAATAAGATTCGCACATTTTTAGTCGTGCAAAAGTAGTCCAATGAGTTCCTTTATTTTCTTTACAAGTTACATCTAATATAACAAACTACATCTTTAAAAAAGTGAAGTCACCCAACTGTACAGAAGTCGCTCAGCTCGGAAATTAAAGCCTAAATGTAGAAGATTTCGTACTAATATCCAGATTCGTACATCCGTGCTGTGAGAATGATAGTTTTTGAGTGCTCTCCATGGTGCTGAAATCACAGGCTTTTGCATTTCTGGAAGCAGCCAAAGTCCCAACTACCAGCGAAGATAAAGGCCCGACTGCTCACCAGCATCAAATCAGAGAAAAGCATGTGTACTTTTAACTTGTCTTATTAAAAATCGACCCATTTAGCCCGTCAACAATGTGAGAAATCTCTGCGTATGTACTTGACCAAAACACATGCACATTGTCACGTTCAAAACATTTAAAAACGAAATCTGATTATTCTCAATAAATGCTTACAAACCACATTTCTGGATGTGAAGACTGTCCAGGTGAGAATCATTGAAACACCTGCGTCTTTATCATTAAACTCAATCATGCATTTTGGTTCTTTCATAGATTTATTACAGGTGTTCTGGAAATACGACAAAATCTGTTGGGTCAAAAATATACATACAGCAATGCTAATATTTACTTAAATGTCCCTGTTTTCATCTCAGCTCGGTGCTTTTAGTAGCCGTCCTCAAGCTTTTACATCCAAGCATTTCAGTCAGATCCGTCTAAAACTTTAATTCTGGCTGAATTTAGCCTTTTTATGATCATTTTTGATGTGTGTTTGGGTTCATTGTCTTTTTCCATCTGCATCTAAAACTTTCTGGCTGATGATTTCAGGTTGTCCTGATGAGTGTGGAGGTGATCCTCCTTCTTCATTGTTCCATTTACTTTGTGTACAGCCCCAGAGCATGATGCTGCCACCTCCATGCTTGATGGTAGGTTGGGTACTGTCTCTCCATCAAACACATTTCTGGTCATTGGGGCCAAATGACTCAATAATTGTTCCATCGGACCACAGAACTCTCCTCCAGAAGGCCTTTTCTTTGTCCAACAACAAACTTCAGTGGAGCTTTACGGTTCTGCTTCTAGAAGAAGAGCTTCCTTCTTCATGCTGTGGACACTGACAGCTGTGTTCCAGCAGCTTCTAATCCATAGCAGATGAGTTGACTCTTGACCATCCTGACCAATCGTCTCTCAGCAGCAGCTGATAGTTTTTCCTGATCGTGGCAGTAACACAACTGGACCATGAACTTTATATTTAAATGTTTGGGGATCTGCAGCTGCTTTGAAATGGCTCCAAGTTACTTTCCTGATTTGATCAAGTCAATAATTTGTGTTTTCATATTTGCCCACAGTAGGGTTTGTGGCCGAGACGAATTAAGGTATCAAATAATTAAATTGTCTTCGAGGAGTCGGCAGCGTTAGTCAATCATAATCCCTCACAATAAGGTGAGGAGGCCGTGCCACCAAGAAAGTTTGACTAGCAGCTTTCTTCATCACCAAAACTGGGGATTGAAGTTGCTGCATGTTTACTTTTGACCCAACAGATTTTGTCATATTTCCAGATGACTAAATCTATTAGAGACAATGCCGGATTGTTTTTTCTGATGAACACACGAGTTTCAAAGATTTCATCACAAAAAAATCAAGCGTTGTAGGAATTTTTGAAAACTCAAAGCTGCTGTGATACACACGGTCTTTGCAAAGTTTTGTTCATGACTGTCGGTATAATATTTAATTGGAATTCCAACACAGTCATGCAGCACGTCAAAATCCCACATGGAGCTGTGGGTTGCTTCGAATGGCATCAAGCATCTTCACTGAGTGTCTGATTATGCAGATTTGATGCATGTGTCAGTGTTTTATATAATTTCAGATGCAAAAGTGTTGATAGCAAGTGGCTGCAGGAAACCACACCGGGTTTAATGACGTGCACATGTAAACATTTATTAAAACATTCAATAGTACAGTACAAGAAGAACAGTTTAAATAAATATTCTTGTAAGCCACAAACAATGTCCAATAAATACTAGTAAATAAATAGCATTCAATTAAAAACAAGTTTTGACAGAGTCGTTGCAGTTCCAGGATTTAGACAATAAGACTTCATCTTCACTTAGGATCTGCAAGAGAACAAGATGACAGCTCTGTTGGTGAGATCTTTCTATGAGGCTGTTCTACATGAAACTATCAGGATGTAGACACAACGTTTCCGGTCCAGCTGCTATGCTCGTACAACTTACTCTTTCTGCCAACAGTGTTGCACCCCAAAGAGCTCATGGTGCCTATTCTGTCAATCCGTCCCCCGAAGCAGTTGGAGGATTTTCTGGGGTCGTTTCGGAGGCTCTTCAGGTTCTTGGCAGAAAGAAACTCCCTGATGAGCGCCTCGTCCAGGTCAGCTTGTGGGTTCAGTCTGTCCGCTGCATTCTCTCTGCTCAGGCCGTCCAGACCGTCCCTGTCCGCGGGGTTTCTCTGGTCCATCGTAGGCTGCTCTGGAATGGACTCCTCCAGCCTGTAAAGGAGCACCTGCAACACCCACGACAGCATAAGTCGTCTTACATACAAGATGCACAGTTACCTCAAGCATGTCGGCACATTTTAACAGTTTCAAAGCAGATTAAATGATTTAGACCAAAGAGAGGTTTTATGGTCTTTAACAGTGCAGGCCATGACACCTATTATCCCCATCAGCATCATCAGACTCCCAGACACCCATATAGGAAGCTGGAGGATGTAATTCAACTGATGCTCATTCTGTAAAAAATGAAATTGAACTCTTTTTCCTGCAGATTGCCTAAAAGTTTCATGGTGGAGACCTAGAACTCAACTTTCCAAACTCCAAGTATTTGTAGACTTACTTTTAAGGCGTCCACATCAGCATCAGTCAAACCGCCGCCGATGGGATACGCGCTGGACAGCTGCAGGTTTAAGATGACGAGGAGGCCGCAGAGCACGAAGGAAGATGGATGCATTTTTCTGCGTGAGCTGCTGGTGGTTCTGACGGCTGAAGGATGAAGGCTGGACGGATCGATGGGTGCTCTTTTGCTCTTCGATGCCTGGTTGCCGTTTGGATGCTGCAGCCCCTCTGCTCTTTTATATTTAAACTTGACACACATCGGCACGCCAGGAATTGGAGTGACATTCCTGACACCTGATTGTGATAATAGGAGCTGTCGGAAACTGCTCCTTTTAAAGCGTCGTATCTCAGATATGGGTGTATTCGTATGACATCGCCGCTTCCATATGCTACCGTGTTTCAGGAACGCGGTCCGACCCCCTCGCTTACACGGCACGCTGTTGTCACAGAACTACGGGAAGTAGTAAACTGCAGCGACGGCGTGACAGCGTTGCTAAAATTAGGGGTATACGTGATAGCGGTAGGGTGCTGATCGCCGGTCTGAGAGATCGGCCTTCAGTGGGAGGAACCACATTCAGGCTGCTACTCTGGTAAAGGGCTCTTGACAAAAACACAAGAGTCCTACAAGCTCTCAGGGTGTCGCTCTACGGCCGGCCGTGACCTCTGACCTGCTGCGGGTAGCAAGAAAAAAACAAAACGGAAAGCATCGCTGTATGTCCGGCATGTCGACTGCAAGAAAAACATTAAAGCTTCTAAAACATGGTTGAAAAACTTTGACATAAGTAACAGATCAGGTGGCCCTGACCTAGAAGACTACAAGGCTTCTTCTAGTGATGAAACACCACAAAGAATTTTTAGCAGCTCAGGAGTTCACCTCAGCATCCTGAAGGACTCGTCCCACACCATTTGTTCGAACTGTTATTCTCAGGAAGGCGTGCGGGGCAATAACAGCAAAAACAAACAGACGAATAAACAGCAAGAATTAAAGAACACTAAACTGCATACCTCATCTTTTTTTCTTCTTTTTTTAAATGAGTGTGTTTATACACTGTGCGCACAATTATTAGGCAAGTTACATTTTTGAGGATTAATTTTGTTATTGTACAACTGCAGTGCTCTTGGTCAATCCAAAATGTTAACAAACCCTCAAACTTGAACATTGAAGTAGTAAAAGTGAAGTTTTGGCCTTCTTAAGAGAATATCTATATGTTCACCATTATTAGGTAACTATACGTGTGCAGAATTATTATGCGACTAAATGAAAAACAAAGATTTTCCCATCTCACTTGTTTATTTTCACCTGTTAAAGTTAGTATAATAAACACATTCAAAATTTACAAATAAACATCTCTGAAATTTAAAAAAAAAAAAACCCTCAGTGACCAATATAGCCGCCCTTCTTTTCGATAACAGTCACAAGCCTTCCATTCACGGAGTCAGTCAGTTTCTTGATCTGGTCAGAATCAACTTTTTGTGCAGCCGCAACCACAGCCTCCCAGACACTGTTCAGAGAGGTGTACTGTTTACCTTCACTGGAAATTTCCTGCTTAAGAAGGGCCCAAAAGTTCTCAATAGGGTTTAAGTCAAGTGAAGAAGGGGGCCATGTCATTAGCTTTTCAACTTTAAGGCCTTTACTAACCAGCCACGCAGTGGAGTACCTTGATGCATGTGATGGAGCGTTGTCTTGCATAAAAATGAAAGTCTTCTTGAAAGATGCAGACTTTTTCTTGTACCACTGCTTGAAGAAAGTGTAAATAAAAATTGGCAGTAGGTCTGAGAGTTGATTTTGAGTCCATTTTCAACCCGAAAAGGTCCAACTAGCTCATCTTTAGCAATACCTGCCCATACCAGCACCCCACCTCCACCTTGCTGCCGTCTGAGTCGGAGTGGAGCTCTGTGTCGGTTACTGATCCAACCACGGGCCCATCCAACCACGGGCCCATCCATCTGGTCCGTCAAGAGTCACTCTCATCTCATCAGTCCACAAAACCTTTAGAAAAATCTGTCTTCAGATATTTCTTGGCCCGTTTTTGGCGTTTCAACTTATGTGTCTTGTTCAGAGGTGGTCGGGTTTCAGCCGTTCTTACCTTGGCCATGTCTCTGAGAACTGAACACCTCATACTCCTTGACATTCCAGGTAGGTTGCAGTTGTGGAATATGGCAGCACTGGAGGATAATAGGTTCCTGGTTGCTTCATGCTTGATTCTTCTCAAATCTTTGGTGGTTAATTTGCGTCTTTTCTTCTCGACACGTTTCTTGCGACCCTGTTGACTATTTGCAACAAAACGTTTGATGGTTCTGTGATCAAGCCCCAATATCTTCGATATTTCAAGAGTGCTGCATCCCTCTGAAAGACTTTTTACAATTTTTGACTTTTCAGAGTCAGTTAAATCTCTTTCTTGGCCCATTTTTCCTGAGGAGAAGAATCTGCCTAATAATTATACACACCTTGATAAAGGGTGTTGATCTCCTTCGGCCACACCTTCCCTCGTTACACAAATACACATCACCTGATATGCATTAAATCCAATAAGCATTCAAGTTTATACAGCTTGGAGTTGGAAATTATGGATAAAATGATGATATGGTCAAAATAATCACTTGCCTAATAATTGTGCACACAGTGTACTTATTTGTTATCAGTCACTTGATCTTTTATACTTCTCTGTTTTCAATTACGTTGTACGTTTTGTATAATGACACTAAAGATTCTGAAATAAAAACTTATGAATGAAGGTTTTGTTGCATTTTTGTGTATTTTTAATTACTAGCAGTATTTTCTTTTAACTAGAGCTGCATTAGCGTATTAACTGCTAGTTGTGTTGGTCCTAACAGTTTTGGGTCCATTATCCGACTCAGTCCGGTGTGTTGTGTTGTTTTGTGTTTGTTTTGTTGCACTTCTGATCATTTAAAGCTGTTTTATCTGATTTGAAATTCAACAACGTGTATCTGTTATATATATACATATTTTCCTTTATAAATGTATGCTCTTAACATTTATTTTATTCGAGCTGATTTATTTTAGGCTCTTTTTGGGGGGATTTGTTGGTAGATGGCAGGAATAGACCCTTGCCATCTACTTTTTTGGATGGTTTGTAGAGGCGCTCACAGTCGATTTAAAACTTTCATACTTTTCTCATCACTGCACCTTAAATGAAGGTCACTGATGCATAAAAACTGCTCATGGAAATATTTGTCCTCGTTGATTATCATGGATGTGGTGTTGCAGCATTCATTTGTCTGTCTTTGGTTAACAGTGAATTTTTTCTTCTTTTTTTTTTTAAAATGCTCCATGCGTTTTCTTTTTTTTGATAAAATCCCAGATTGACAAGATATTTATGAGCTCAGATGTATTTAATATGGGCAGATCTAAACTTGAAGACTGTCAAAGTGAATTATTATCTGCTCTGATTGTTTTATTTTGTCGTCTTTATCGGTGACATTAATGTGAATATTGTCTAAATGCTCATAACATGCCTCCGTTGTACATAAAGGTGTTGCATTCAAAAATGTGTTTGAGTAAAAGCACCAATTTATCATCTGCTGAATGATTACATCAGTAGTTAATTAGTGGTATGAAGGCATCAGTTTGCTGCTGCAGCTGGTGGAGGAGGAGGAGCTCCTTGTCAGCTGTGGGGACAAAATGCTGCAACAGAATCCATCTTTGCGGATTCATCTCTAATAATTTGTAAAATATCTGTATTATTATTATTATTATGCTTGTTTCTTTATGTGACATCTGTCCAGGAAGTACCCACTAACTAAACTTATCAGATTAATGTCATAAGTACAACATAGAAGCAGAACATTAAATACTAAAGGTCCACTTCAATTTATTTTAACTTAAATTCAGAACTTGAGTAAATTTAATTCGTTTCCTTTTACTTTGGACTTTAAACAGTGACAATACAGCGTGACTTTCAGGATTAAACCGTGTGAAATTATTAGATTTCCAACGTTATCTATTTATATGTTATTAATTGTGGGTAAAAATGAAGCATTACGCACCACTGATCCACCGGCTGAAGCCTCCCCAACATCCGCAGCCCAAATAATTCACCCTCGTGTATTTTAAGTTTAGTTTGTACAGCTGTAGACAAAAATATGCGTGTCTCGTGTCGGAGCAGGTTTCCTCTCCGAACCTCAGTGCAACTTGAAACCAGTCGTGCGCAATTGTATTTAGTCCGTTTTTATACGGCGCTAAACACGAAGCCACGTTATTCATGTGCCATTAAAATCACCTACAAGAAGCAAAAACGAAGTGTGAATTCTCTTAAATGGTTTCGAGTCTAGCACACGTTATCATCAACAATCTGACCTGTGGAAACTTGGAGCTTAACGGCGCGTCAAACAGGAAACAAATCCAACCACAGACAGTTCTTATGCAAAATAAGTATATTTTATTTACTACAATGCAGTCTGTTGCAAGGCAAGTCTACGTTATCCATCAAAGATAACAATAAATAATGAATCAATTTACAATAATTTATTATTTAACCGCTCCAAGAAGAAAAATAAATTAAAATCAAATAAATCACAGTTCTGAATCAGAACCGTGGACGAGGTGGACTGAAGAACCGCCCTTTGAGTTGCCAGTCAGCGCTTTCTGGATGTGAGAGGAGCTCCGGTGATGCTTGTGGTCACACAGATGGGGATGATCCATGATTTCTGAAAGAAGAAGAAAAAAAAACAACAATAAATAAACAAATGATGAATAAATATTTGGATATGTGGACCGGCCCAGGTGTCCTTGTAGAGGTTCGTGCGTAAACCTGAGAATTTGTGATTTGCATAATAAACTATGGAAGGTTGATTTGGGGATTTTTCGATCCCAGCAAGGGTTTAATCTCTGCGGCTGTTCTCATATTCTGCATTATACCTACTTGGTTTTTCTAAATCACAAAACGACGCATTTCAGACACGAACAGAAACCATCCCGTATTTTTACGCACATTACTCTTAACGAAAATAAAGAGGTGAGCGGATGGAAGCTTCCTACCTTCAGCATCCCAGTCCACTGAAGGAGCCTATCCTCTCCAGCCGGACCCCGAAGCAGCTCCTCAGGCCGCCCTTCTTGTAGCGGCTCCACGACCGCTTGGACGTCCTCAGCAGGTCTTTGAAGAGGCGCGCCACGGCGTTCTCTTTGCTCTCCAGCGCGGAGTTGCGCAGGTCGGATGAGTCCCACTGCTGCTCCTGTGGAGAGCTCAGGTCCTTCCCCTCCACCTCCTCCATCTCCCTGGAGGAGTAAAAAGGCGCGCCGTTGATCTCCTCTTCTAGAAGCTGCTTCAGACTCTGTGGGATCCAAAGCAGACATGCGCTGATGTTTTAAGAAGACAACCTGTGGAGCCACGAGTAAAGCTACAGGCACCTCAGTGAGGATGATCAACTTCATTATCAGACCACAAACACACAGAACACCCTCCTGTTGCTTCATTGTCTCTGAAGCCTTCAACAGATTTCTGGTCTCCATCACTGACAGACAACAAGCAGACTTACCTGGAGGTCAGAAACAGGTTTGGCTTCCACTAAACTAAGCAGCAACTGCAGAGATACACAGCACAGGAAGATATTTGGGTTCATCTTCTTTTTGCAGATGCGTCTTTGTTCTTTTCCTGCAGAGACCGACTGGTGCGCACTCGGTCCGGTCCGGGCTCCTCTGGCTCCCCAGCAGAGAGCAGGTCGCCTCCTTTATACGCGACCTTATTCCGTCACCAGGCCTGGGAAAATTAACGAGGTGTGACTAATGCTCCCACACGTGGGAGTAGAGCCTAACCTGACTGTTGGAGGTGTTCAAGTCCTCTGCAGCTGCCAGAGACGAGACGGAGAACTCGGGTCTCTGAGGCTCGGAGCTCTGCATCAACGTCTCACAATGTCAGAAAGGAACTGAACATCCTCCAGAGTTTGTTTGTTTGTTGCAGGAACTAGTGTGGAGCCACCTGGTAGTTGATCAAATGTTCCGATGTACCCAATAAGCCCTGATCCAGGACTATGAGCAGTGGTTCAATGATGCTGCTGGTTACTGATGAGGAGACGTTGGTAAACCTTTAGCTCATGATTATTTCAGAGCTCCTAATAAATTTATCAAACCAACACTTTCTTCATGAGTGGTTCAATGAAAGCTGCTCTCAGCCTCACCGCTAAACCGCTAAACATTCTGGGTAATTCCTTTTTTTTTTTTAATCACCAAATAACTTTCATTTTATCAGCCAGAAACTGTGACAGCAGAAAGATTTGTGGGATCTTTAACATTCAGAGACTCCGAGAAACTCTTCAGTTTCTTCAGCATTAGTTTACTCGGGCTGCAGGGTGGCGCAGTTTGTAGCACTGTTGCCTCGTAGCAAGAAGGTTACCGATTCACGTCCCGTGGAGTCTCCATGTTCTCCCCGTGCAGCGTGGGTTCTCTCCGGGTTCTCCGGCTTCCTCCCACACAGTCCAAAAACATGTTGAGGTTAATTGGTGATTCTAAATTGTCCGTAGGTGTGAATGTGAGTGTGCTTGGTTGTCTGTCTCTAAGTGTAGCCCTGTGATAGACTGGTTACCTGTCCAGGTGAACCTGCCTTCACCCTGAGTCAGCTGGGATAGACTCCAGCCCCCCATGACCCTAGTGAGGATTAAGCGGTGTATAGATAATGGATGGATTAGTTTACTCTAACGTTAACTCACAACATCTAGGTTTTTTGTCAGACTTCAGAACTTATAAACTTCCTCACTTGATTCATTTTGTCTGCAAATATGAATAAATGAACTGCTGAGAGTTCACTCAACTCATTGAATCGAGTTTACTGATGACGACGTCGTCTTCCATGCTGAAGATTAGTGTTTAATTCAGTTCTGTACACGTTGAATTTGATCCAGTCACGTGGAGCAACTTCACGAGTTGTGTTTGTACTGATGGGTAAAAAGTTAAAGAACCAAAATGCAGGAATGTTTTTCTTTGTGGGATTGTGCCACCAGACAGAATGCAGACGTAGTAAAGTGTTGACAGCAGATCTCGTGCCACTGAGCATAAATACACACCATCCAACCAGAGGATAGCTTCATATTTTCTGTGTCTAGTACCTCACAAATACTCTACGGCGGCTGATGTGTGCACCTGCTGAACATCAGGATTCATCTGAAGTGACTCTGATTGGGTTTGTGTTGTTCATGTTTCGGGGGATTTGCTAATTATTCAAACTGGACTTCCTTTTGGGGATAAAACAAAAAAACAAGCACGATAACAAGACTACTCATTTTGAGGTTTGGAAAGTCTCCAGGAAACGAATGCAAGTCAAAGTAATATCCTCGAACCACAGCTGTTCTCAAACCCCGTCTGTTCCCTGCAGCTCGTCGCCCTCCAGACAGCGCCGGGGGTAAATGATGAGCGATTAGCCCTGGACCCTGCGAGGACGAGCGCACCGTGTGGAGGTGGAAGGCGGCTAATTGACATTTCGCCACCTTCTCAGCTGGAGGGCTATCGTGTGAAATTGGCTCAGGCTTCAGGGCAGCAGTGAGTGCTCCTCATGGTTTCCATGCAGAAGAATTTACACTCTCCCTGTTGGATCCATTGGTCCGGTCACACAGAGACGGTTCTGATCCCGATGGTCGGGCAGAAGGCCGCGGCGGAGGAATCATTCAGGACTTAAGGAAAAGCATCGTAACTACACTGTAGAACATAAAAGTTATTCCAGTAAAGTAGGTTTTCAGCAAAACATAGTGAAGCGTCTAATTTAAAAATGCTCCACCTCTAAAAAATAAACAATTAGCTAACTAGCTAATCAGCTAAAGGTAATCATCCATCCATCATCTATACACCGCTTTATCCTCACTAGGGTCATGGGGGGCTGGAGTCTATCCCAGCTGACTCAGGGTGAAGGCAGGTTCACCTGGACAGGTAACCAGTCTATCACAGGGCTACACTTAGAGACAGACAACCAAGCACACTCACATTCACACCTACAGACAATTTAGAATCACCAATTAACCTCAACATGTTTTTGGACTGTGTGGGAGGAAGCCGGAGAACCCGGAGAGAACCCACGCTGCACGGGGAGAACATGGAGACTCCACGCAGAAAGATTCCGGTGCCCCCACCAGGACACGAACCGGCAACCTTCTTGCTGCGAGGCAACAGTGTTACCACCTGCGCCACCCTGCAGCCCCTAAAGGTTTCAGAGTTGAAATCTGAGCTGAGCAACACTCGTGAAATTCAATTTTGGGTTTAGATTAGCTCATTTTAATTTATTCCCTGTCACTTCTCATTCTTATTGCATATTATTACAGTTATTACAGAAATCTTCATACATCCTCACTGTCAGGTTAGTGGAGCTGATGGACGTACCTGCAGCTCATACCTATGATCACACCAGGTGCTACCATAACTTCAGGAAGGTGTGTGAACACTAGCTGTAAACCAGCCTGTATATTTGCTAAGCTGCTATCATTTATCACATGAATTCAAACAAATCAATGACCTGAAGGTTGAACTACGAAGCAAGTGTGACATAGCCAGGCTTTCTTTGTGTAAGCTGGCTGGACAAAACCTAAAGCCCCAGCCAGAGATTACTGGTATCACGAAGGTGGTTTTCAGCTTTGTTTGTCAACTCAGACTTTCTGCTTCAGACTCTGTTCACATAAAAGGAGGCATTTAAGAAAGATAAGACACATTCCCTCAGCTGAGAATTTGTATCACTCATAATTAATAGTCAGGAAACGATGTGGTTAAAGGGAAACGCTCTTTCCAGCTGATTTAAATCCAAAACTCTGAACATAACCTGCTCCCGACCGGGTTAGCTTTAACTTTAAACTCAACATATCTGGATAACAGACGAATCTTGCTTCGTAGTGCAGCCCTCTGCAGTGTGTCAGAGTTAGATGGTTTATATTTACCTGATTCCTGAGTGAGAGAACCCTAACCCTAAACTTTGGGGCGTTCATGGTTCACATTTCAGCATCAGCTGACATTATTTTACAAATTGACCTGAAGTCTCGGCTGTTTCAGAAGAACTGGACCGTGCAGTGTGCTGGTCGGCACTCCTGAACCAGCTGGTTGGACTAGTTGACATTTAAATCTGCACTCCTCCCTCATGTCGATGTCATTAAAGCCCTTAATGAGAACGTAAGTGCATCATCATAATCTAAATGACGGAGCGTGCTGAGCTGAGGTGAAATGAGAGGCCCGATGTTCTGTAAATTAGGAAAACACAGCAGTGGTTCCCCAGAGTCCTTCAAGACCAACTCCACACCGACAGGGCTACGGTTTGATACAAATATATCTAATACTAATTTTACTATTTAAAATAATAATTTATTGTAGATTAGCCAATAAATTCTGCACAAATATTCATTGTTTTTAGAAGACAAATCCTGACTTCTTCTTTCGTGCGACGAGCAATTTGAACATTTTTACTCTATTGGACGACCAAGCATGTTCTCCACAGGATAAATAACAATCACACGACTGTTCATCACCGTCTGTCCAATATCTGCAAAATTCAAGGCATCACACTTCGCTGTTTGTGTTTAGCGCTAATTAGAAAATGCTACTCGGCTAACAAACTAAACCAAACTTTTGCTCTCAAGAGATAATTACAAAAAAAAGAACAAAAAATAAAACCATTACACCTCCACAGTCAAACACTTAGCAAGGGGACTGTTAACATTTATTCATATCGTCCAGTAAAAACATAGAAGAATCCAAAGAAAGTTGTGGATTAAGTGTGCTAAGTGCTGTGAGATGACATACGCTGTAAACTTGGCGCTATATAAATAAAACTGAATGGAATTTAGATGTAATATTTGGGTGTTTTTGAGAATGTTTCGGCAACAGCATCACCTGAGGGAGGCTGACTGTGACACACTGACAGCATGCTGATGACCACACCAGGGATGGCAATAACCCTGTCGTGGCTAAAACACATTTTCTGACACTGCGTCAGTCCAGTGACCAATGCTCTGCGGTCTGAACAGGAATGTGGCACCTGATAATGAACGGGACAGAGAGACAGTCAGTCATGGATGCTCATCTTAGCCTTCCTGTCAACAGCGTCCCGGCGCTCCCTCCCCTCCACAGATTAGCTTATCGCCAACATACTGCTTGAATCCTCAGCTGTCTGTCCTCAGCTGGCTGCTGCAGAAAATGTCTTCCTACTTTTAAATGTTACAATAAGGTTTCACCAAACGGTTTCCCTCCTCATGACTCGTCAGCTTGGGGTGAATGCTCGGAGTGAATAGTTTCCCAGAGTGCTGCTGGACTTCTGTTATTCTGGGAATTAATTTTATAATATAAGCTAAATATAATCTGTTAGCAGGTGACAAAATAAAACATTTTCAGCAATTTTATAATCTAATAGATTTCCAGGGTTACTCCATCATTCTCTGCATTGATAATGTGCATTTTTTAGTAATATTTCAAGTTATGAAGTTGACTAGTCGGGACATTTAGAGGCCCATTTATAAAACTTTGCAGAGCGACTCATCAGTCAGGGCTTATACTATCAATTATCCAGTGACTTTATTAATTGTATACAGTTAAATGTGTGGCCGCTTCCAAAACAAATTGCATATTTCCTATTGATAGACAGACTGTTAAAATTTTCTTT